TGCTCGCGCGCCCGCGCGATCGCCCACAGCCGCCTCCTGCTCGCGCGCCCGTGGCGCTCACCGCTCGCTGCCACGCGCCCGCTCGCTGACGGGGACTGTAGCTGCTGCTGGGCTTGCGAGGTGCGCGAGTGGGGAGAGAGAAAAAGGAGAGAGAGATCGATGGGAGGTGAGTGGGTGACTGGTGGGTCCAGGCCGGACAAGAGCAGTCGGGAAGGACGCAGAAAGCATCCGCTCGACCCCAAAGCCGAATCAAATTTGCGCTCCGGCTGGGGCAAACCGGACCAGAAATGGACGTCTTTTTACGAATGGGGTCGCGCGTTGGGCCGCTTTATTTGTCCGTTTAGACCCAAACGGACAGACCGGGACGATTTGGGGTCGTGCGGTGGAGTTGGCCTTAATAATATCATTAACACGCAAATCAATTAATTGGTGCTAATCAAATATGGAGTCGATGCGCGCTTACTTAGTTAGCCTGGCTTATAGTATAGTACTTTCACTGATCTTCAGAGTTCAGACTTAGAGTCTGCTCTACTTGTCTTTAAAAGTTCAAGTGCTCTCTGTACCGTGCTAGCATACATCGCGTACACAAACAGTGTTATTTGTTAAACTTTGTAAAGCACTCATGCGGACTACGAAGTTGCTTGGAAGTAAATATCGGTTTTCCTTGTATAGTTAATTAGGGTATTTTCCTTATGTAGTTGATTGAAATTAATTCGATAAATAATGGGTCAAAATCTATCATTATATAAAGAATTAAAGAGTGAATATTCTCTTAGGGCATAGACTTGAGGTATATAGATAGAGAATACGAAATCACTATGCACACGACACCTTGGCTGACGATGTATGCACGAAGCTGTGATCGATGGTACTAACCCATGGAGCCAAAGTGATGGACGGCTGCTAACATGTGTCGTGCATGAATCGGCTGCCAAGATGTCGTACTCAAGTCCAACGATAACTAGTACTCCCTCTGTTTCTGTTCACAACTATAAGATGTTTTAGATATTTTACTTTAATTTGGACTACATACAAACTGAAATAAATGAACAGATACATTAAAATATGTCTATATACATCCGATTCACAAAAAAGTTAGAACATCTTATATTTGTGAACGGAGAAAATAGTTTGTCTAACAGCTTTATAAATAATATCGCTGCACCTCATCGATTTCTTTTCGTGCCTCTTTGATAGGAATATATATGAACAACAAAACACTATAATTTTGTAGATTTGTGTGTCTGATTTTGAGGAATACAAATCACGAAGACATCCTAATAAACGTGGTCAAAACAAAGTCAGACCACAATCAAATATAATTTTCTAACGCCATTTCGCCAACACTTATCTCATTCTTCATGTAAAAAATGTTCTAAAAAGAGTTCCAAAGTGAAATTTAGCTAGTAATCATGAGGTTAAGTGAGAATCCCTATTGTTTTTCTTTGCTCCATTCCTTTGAATCAAATGGATGCCATTGACCAAAGGAAACTATGGTGTTCCTATGTTTTTTCTCTACTTCTCCTACAAAGCAAAAAAAAAGGTCTGCTTGTTTTTTTTTTGCAAGAAAAAAAAGGTCACCTTGTTGTTAGAAACACCTACAACGTTCAATTTGCTCCCAAAGCAATGGCCGGAAGATCCCACTTGGGAAGCACAAGCAGGAAACAGTGTAAACCAATATGCTTATTCTATGTAAAGCAACTACCAGAACAACCTTATCGCACTTCAAGATTTCTGAATTACCAAAGGGGTAGGAAATTTTGATCTGACTACTACCAACGGGCAATGGCTATTTTTAAGTCGACTGAGCCACAGTCACTCCAATCAATACATGGTGTCCTGTGTTGGAACATAAGTATTTGACAAAAAACTACCACATTAGGGATATCGTCCCACAGAACTTTCACATTCAAAAAAGTGACTGATAACTATCAATTTTAATTTTGTGACTAAAAACTACCACTTTTGAATAATGGTCAGTTTAGAGATTTTAAATGTGTTTATGACACGTGGAATCCACCCGTCAGGGCTGACGTTGCGGCAAAGTCAACTCCGTTTATTCTGACCATTAAGTTGACCGTTATGACAGGCAGGCCCCACACGGCAGCATCAACCTCCTCCATCTCTCTTTGACATTTTCTCGAACACATCATGTGCATGGAAACAGGGGAGCTCCAGGGACGAGCCGCCGCCGCAGCCGTCAGAGCCTGGCTCGGCCGGCCGACAGCAGCACGGCCGGCGTGCCCACGACGTGGCTGCACTAGCCATCAAGGGCCGCTCCGCGCACTTCAACTTTCTCAGAACCCGAGGCACACCGGCGGCGGCCGTCCGTCCACGCGCGGCACCACCTGGCCATGGCCTGGCAGCTGCTCCACCGCTGGCACTGCCTCGAGGCGCTTGCCCCCCCGCCTTGTCCCTTCGCGACAGTACATGTCCGACATGCGCCGCTCCGTCGCACCGTTTGCCGACGCCGACCGTCCAGGCGAGCAGTGGGTCTGCGCCGCGTGTTCTACGAGGAGGAGGTCAAGGTGGATTCCTCGATGGTCGACGGCCCCGTGGCGCCCACCCGCTCGGGCGCGGCCGCGGAAGACGGCGGGCCACCGGCCAGGATGCACATCAGCGTCCACGTTGAGGTCTCCAATCCCGTGCTCAACTTCGAGTGCTCGGCTTGGCCCAAGGTGATGGATGTGGAGAGAGTCTTCCCCGTCCGGCGCACTGGGCAAACGCCGGAGCTCCTCCACCACCGCCGCTCCCTACTGCCCGTGCCCGCATCACCATCGAGCAGTAGCTCCCGACATCGACATCGACGTCGCCATGAAGGCCGCCGCCACTGCCGCCGTGCAGTGCGAGGCCAAGCCCGACCCGGAGCTGGTGCACCGAGAGCTCGTGCTAAAGTCCGACATGGTGTACAGCGAGCAGGCCGCCGGAGCTCCCCTGCTTCCCTCGCATGCACAAGAGGTATTTGTTGAAATGCCAAATAGAGAGAGGAGGAAGGAGGGGGAGGTTGATGTTGACGTGTGGGTCCCGCCTGTCATAACGGTCAACTTAATGGCCAGAGTAAACGGAGTTGACTTTGCCGCCACGTCAGCCCTGACGGGTTGGTCCCACATGTCATAACCATTTAAAATTTCTAAACTGGCCATTATTCAAAAGTGGTAGTTTTTGTCACAAAATTAGAAAATTTTGATAGTTATCAGTCTTTTCTTAAATGTGGTAGTTCTGTGGGACGGATACTCGTAATGTGGTAGTTTTTTCTCAAATACTCGTTGGAACAATAATCGATGTGCGCGAAGCAATAAATTAACATCCTGGCCTCATCCTGACAGAACTTCTTCAGCTGCTGTTTTTTTTTTTTGCGTGGAGCTGCTGTGCTTCTTCATACTATGATACTCCCTCTGTAAACTAATATAAGAGCGTTTAGATCACTAAAATAATAATCTAAATGCTCTTATATTAGTTTACATAGGGAGTACTAAGCATGAAAATAAGCTAATCTTAAAAAAAAACAGAATAATGTCCCGGCGGTCCTTGGTTTGGACAGGGCCCGACCTGCATCAGCGTGTTCTGTCACATGGCACCTGTGATACAAAGCTTGATAATCCTACAATTATGAATTATCTAGTTTCCCACAAGTCACTGAGGAGGAGAATCACCTCGCATCAGGTTGGGGAAACAGTGACCAAATCATGATGCCCACCATTACACGTACGTACAGATAGTGTTTCACTAGGGTTTTTGTGGTGTTTTGTGGATAAAAGCTGCAGTCATCGTCTACTGGCGCTGACCAACCTGGTAGCCGTCGGTAACACTAGAGTTTCCAGCGCAAATGACGAGGAGAAACTCACAAACATGCCGAAACCTTCTGGATTTTGCAGTTCAAAACACAACAGGACAAACATGCGTGCGTAGCCTGATCTGCACTACTAGCAAGGAGCCAAGGAAGGAGTCTATCTTTCGGTATATGGTTTGCATTTGCATGCAACTAATAAGCTTGCTTAATTGTTGCAGGGGTGGCGTCGTTGGTGCACGGTTTCGTGCCGTACGGCGACCTGCCGACGTCCCCGGCTGGTGCTCTCTCTCTTCTGTCATCGGCCAGAGCCGCCCCCTGGCTAGTCCCGACGACGCCCGGCGACGTATTCTCCGCCCGCTCCAGCAGCGCCGCGCTGGACGAGCTCATCGCCGAGAACCGCGCGGCGCTCCTGGCGTGCCACTTCTTCCCCCAGCGCTCGGCTGGCCGGCCGGCCGCGGCAGAGATGGCGCCGGCCTGGCACCAAGCGCACCAGCAGGCCCCGCCAGGCCACGCGGTGGTGGGCAATGGTGCCGGCCGAGACCACGGAGCTCCTCCTCCTCCAGCGGGGCACGTCACGCTCGACCTCATGCAGGCGCCCGCCACGGCGGGCTTGCCCTTCCGGCCCATGGCGCAGGGCAGGCCAGCCGAGGACGGCGACGCGGGCCGTGGCTCGGGCGTGTGGACGCCTCTGCAGGGTGCCCACGCCGTCTGAGGTCGCCACATGGTGCAAGTACTACAGTACGCAGCATGGGCGCGGCTGGGGCTTTGGTCATTGTGTCGACCGTGCAATCAACTTGAGTTGGACAACAGTGTACTGTCTGTCTTGTAGCGGGTGCTAGCTGCATCCTCTTCTTTTTTTTCATCCCCCGACAAAGCGCCCCAAGTAAATTCTGGTCCTGAATTCCAACTTGGATTAATTTGAGATCATGGGCGGTCGGTCTTGCATGCTGTCATTCTTGTTTCTCTGTAGAAACGGGGTGAACTGAATGGAAAAGTTGCAACCAGCACAGAATCTAAATAAATTGTATGGATCCTCGGTCCATTTAAATTGAGGGATATTCAAAATTGTGATTTCTCTTTAGAACATATACTCCCAATATTATTAGGGAGCTATAAGGAACACACACGGCAACTTTACTTGGGCTACAAGCAAAGATGACTCATCCAGCTCTGGATAAGATTTGCTCACATTGTCTTCGCTCGAAGACATAGGATTTGGGTTGAGCATCACTTTAGTCATTCTGACTTTGTTCAGTTGGACCCCACTTAACAGTAGTGTGGTTCCTATGACTCAACAAAGAAGAAAAGGAAACAACGAAACAACACAGTCTTCGCGCTCCATAGTCTTCACTCATTGTCTTCTCATGTCATAGTCTTCAATGTGTATATCTTCACATACCACCATTGTCGTCAATGTCTTCATACATTTTTAGGGGTCATCTCCGGTAGGCAAACCGAATCAATGAGGGACACTACCTGCGTTATCCTGCAATTCTCACAAACGCATTAGTCCCTCAACCAACTTTGTCGTCAATACTCCAAATAAACTAGGGGTGGCACTAGATGCACTTACAATCTCCCCCTTTTTGGCGATTGATGACAAACTGGTTGAAGTTTTCAACGGGAATGAAGTATGTGAAATTGTAAAGGATAGGGTATTGTCTTCATAAGTGGCAAGGGCTCCCCCTGAAGATGTGCATATAAGTAATTTGCTTTTGGAATGCAAATGCACATGGCAGGTTGTACTTGTGGAGATCCTCTTCAACTTATGAAGATAATTCATCATGCATGAAATGATATAACTTAAAGAATGACATGCATAATGGAAAATGGACGTCTGCAGAATGATCTAAGTGCGGAAGTTATCATCGCACATGAAAGAGCAAATAAGTAGCAGACGACCATCGAGTTTAAGTGTTACAACTCAATGAACGAAATGTATCAAAAGCAAGAGTTGTAACCACTAGGCAAAATATAAAGCAACCGCCCATATGAACCCGTTTGAAGACTATCAAACTCATATGCTTCTCCCCCTTTTGTCAGTAATGACCAAAAAGGTTTGAAGACATAGAGCATCTACTCGTCCTCATGAGGAGTAGGTGAAGCAGCAGGGTTGTCGTTGTTGGTTGGCGGTGCAGACGAACTTGGTGCAGTGTCGATGCGTGCAGAAGTAGGGGGTGGTGAAGTAGCATCGTCTTCATCATCGATCACGTTGGCATTCACAGTTGCCGTGAAGGAAGAATAGTCAGAGTCTTCAAGGGATGGAGTTCGACGTAGGACAGCATTCCGTGGAGGAGTGGAGTCAAACTTGAATCTTTCAGTGAAGCCATCATCTTGAAGATCTGCTTCAGCATTGAGCAATGTCAAACTCTTCCATGATCGCCGACAAGTTTCGTGAGTGACAAATGCATTCTTGGTGGCAAGATTTCGAATGCGATTTACGTCCACCAAGAGGCTTTGCATCTGTCGCTTGAGCCAAAAGTGACGCTTGTCGTGTTTCTGATGCAGTGCCACAAGAAGTACTCGGTCATTTAGGACCCGAGAGTGCTTCTTTGGCCTTTGAGCAATTATGCTCTCAGTAGCTTCAGTTGGTGCACGATGAGGCAGACGAGTGTTTCCAGCCATCGGATAGACACGAGTTACAACTTGGACTCCTTCCATAGGCTGAGTGAAGCTTTGGTGGTCAGCATTTTGAAGACAAAGAGGCTTCTTGGCAGGCTCAGGGTATATGGCTTCAACTGACATATCAACCTCTGGTAGAAAGATCACATGATTGCGAGCAGAGGGCTGGTAGTTGATAGCAGAGTGTAGCTTGATGAGGCGCATGACCCATGGAGCATAGAATTTCATACCAAAAAGGTCAGATCCAGATGCAGCCAGTTGCTGGAGGAAGAAATCTTGTGCATTGAAGCTGATGCCATTGAGGATGTAAAAGACCAATGTCTTCATGGCTCCTTCAAGTTTTGCAGCTGATGAATGCCCTTTGATAGGCCATAGAGTCCGCCTTATGATGTGATATATTGTGCACGGCAGATACTCAAGGTCATCAACAAAGAACTCCTTTGGGTATTCAGCGTCATGTGGCAATGGCTTCATCATGCTCAACATCTGGCTCATGTTGGGTTCTGGCTTATGGAAGATGCTCTCCAGTGCATTGCGGTGGTGTTGACAACCAGGTTCGTACAGCTCTCCGAGAGTGGATAACCCTATAAGCTCAATGATGTCAAGAGCTTTGGCTTCATGATGAACATTTCCTGTCATCCACTCGAGAACCCATGTTTTTGTATCCCTATTGTAGCCGCGAATGTGGAGGGTAGCATAGAATTGAAGCAGAAGTTCCTCATTCCAATGTTCTTTGTCTGTCACAAAGCTGAGCAGACCTTCATCACGAAAGCAGTCAAGTGCTTCTTCTAAGCATGGCAGTCCTGCAATGGCTTCAGTGTCGAGGCGCATATGAGGGAAAATGCGCCCTTGATCATACAGAACGCAGGAGTAATAGCTTCGCTGCTGATGACTCCAGAAACGATCAGATGATATTCTTGGCCTTGAGTAGGGGTTCTTTGCGCTGTCAAAGAAGGTGTTGTGGCTTTTGAAGCCATTTGCATTGAAGGACCCTGTAGAAGTGGCAGTACCTGGAAACCTTGGCAGTCTTGGCTTTGGTTTCTGGACCTGAGGCCTATGCTCAATGTGATAATCAAACTGAGGACCAGAGACATGAGGCGGAGGAACCAAAACGGGCCATCTGACAGTGATTAGCTAGCCATGGCTGTATGCTTGCTCAATTGTATGGGGCCTTGGTGGCGTAACAGGAGCAGTGGAAATAACAGTGGCTTCAGGCTGCACAACAGAAGCTTCAGGAGCAGTTGAAGCATTAGCTTCTGGCATATTGGTTGGTGCAGGCTCCACACTAGCTTCAGTCATGACAATGTCAGGGGCTTCATTTGTGTTGGTGGGGGCAGCCTCAAGATTTTCAACCTCCACTTGATGAGCTGGTGGGTCTGGCACTGGCACGTTCACTTCAGGAACAACTTCTTTAGTAATGGGGGGAGTAGGGACACGTCCTTCTTCTTGTTCGTCATCGGCTGATGCAGCCAGATTGTCTTCAGCAGCTTTGGCTTTAGACACGGAGGTATTCACAGTTGGAGTGGCATCTGGAAACACTTGACGTGCAACAGATTGGTGGTGCTCTTCTCCTTCTGGAACACTCGAAGAGGGGCTTGAGGCCTTGGCCCTTTGCGAAGCCTTTGTAATATAGGCGACGCCTTTGGAGATGGAGTTGGCTGGGCCTCATCCTCTTCAACTTGCACAGGTGGTGTGACTTGTTGTTGTTGGGGAGTACTGGGGGAGTCTTGTTGTTGTGGGCGATCAGCCCATGATGCATCCTGAGCAATTAGCGTCAGAGGACGACCAATGCTGATGATTTCGCTGTTCGTGAGAACAGGCGATGATACCAAGTTGTGCTCGATTTGAGGAAGAACGTCATCATCTTCAATATTGTCATGGTGACCAATGTCTTCAGTAGTGATGGTATCAACTGCTGGAATGTCTTCAGCTTCATAAGCCTCTGTGGAAGCAGGCTCATGAACAATCATCCGTCGTTCTTGGTGTTCAGATGCAGGGCGAACCACTGAGATAGGTTCAACAACTAAGGGCTCTGTGGGAGTAGCCCGATTCTTCTTGATCTTGCGCTTCTTCTTGGAGGGAGCAGCATCAGAGGCTTCTGAGGTTTTCCTTTTTCTGGCTTCAGCCTCTGCAGCCCTCGTCTTCTTCTGTTCTGAAGCGGTTGACATGGCCTTTGGCCTCAAGCCAGTCATGCTGCTTGGGAAGACTATGCGAGGTTCATCCTGCCTCGAAGGTGCAGGTTGTACAGTTGATAGCTTCTTCTTCTTTGCAGCCATCCTGGGGTTGATGCCAGGACGACCAAGAGCCTTGCGCTTCTCAGCCTCATTGTAGGCTAGCACACACTTGTCAGCCAGATTCTTCATGCGCTCTCGAGAGCCTCGAGATTCTTCACGCTTCTTGTGAAAGGCTTCTTTGAGCTCGTGCAGCATGATCTTGAAGTTTTTGACATCTTGCACGCTGAGCGTGGCCACATGCTTCTTGAACTGAGCCTTTTCATAGTCAATCTTGTGCTTCAGTTCGACGATGCGCTGAGCAATAGCTAGCTCAGAAGCAATAGCGCCATTGAAGGAGACGCTGAGGCCAATGGGAAGTTGCAAATAATCAAAGCTGAGATTTGGTGTGTCAAACCACTCATCAATGAAGTTATGGATGATTGCCACGTCAAAGAGAGGCAAATTATTGAAGATCTCTGCTTCTTCCTTGCTCTTAATCAGTTGCTCAAGAGCATCATCTGCAAGATCATCATCGCTGGACAGATCAATGTGCTCTTCACGCAGAATGGCAGCAGGAGTCAATGTCTGATCAGTATTCTTGACAATTTTCTTTTTCTTCTCCGTCTTCTTGGAGATGCATGAAAGATCTTCAGACTGCACACTGTCTTCAGGAGGTGCAGTGGCCAGTGGCTTCACACGTGAAGCTTTTGGAGGTGCAGCTGATTGTGAAGCCTTAGTTTTCTTTGGCTTCTGCGGCCTTGGAGGAGGAGCTGGGGCTTCATCAGTATCAGCATCATTATCAGAATGATCTACTCTGGCACCCTGGACCAAGATGTATGTGATGAGGCCATCAAGGTTTGAAAAGGGGCCGATGACA